GGACACAAGAGCCTACTATTTGGTCCTAAAAGCCTTCTGAGGTCCCAACTCTTCTATTTCTTAGTTGCTGGAATTGACAGAAAACCTCATAAGCAGTTCCTTACTTCACCTCTGCCTTACGTGCGGACTTCCGAGCTGTAAAACAACCCACTGGTAGATGGAATTTGGTCCAGGACTTAAGAACAATAAATGACATAGTTGAGCCTCTAAAAAAAAAAACCACACACACACACACACACACACAAAAATAAAAACCAAACAAACAAAAAACCCAAACCCACAATGTATGGAAATGATTGTATGAAGCACAATGTAAATGAAAAACACATCAAAAATTAAGAAAAAGGATAGGTCAGAATCAAAGAACAAGTACTCCATTATCTCACTGATATCAAATAGGTAAATGTGTTATTGTTATTGTTGTTGTTTAATGCCGTCGAGTTGTAGAAGACTCATAGCGACCCTATGAACGAACAGCCTGAGCACTGTTCATACATAAGAGTTTCCAGAAGCAAGCCATTTTGGAAGTGGATGCCGCTCCTGCTTCTAGGCTTGATTTAGTCGGGAAGTTCCAGCCAACACTGTCCACCATGTGTGCCCATTACCACGATTGGCACATCACTGTCACAGGCTTCAGCATCACAGCAACCACGAGTTACCTCTGCACAGCAATGCACAGACCAGTGCTATACCACCTAGAAGAATGTTTGACAGGAAAACAATTTGAACTTTTGGGCTTAAGGCCGCCTCCTGGTTCAAACCCTAGGCCCAGGCTGGCTAGCCTCACTCCAGGGACAGAGCAAACCTGCACGTCAAACACATTCCTGGAAAAGCAGTCCATTCCAAAAGCTTGCCACGATTCCTGCACTCCCACCACCACGCTCCTGCCTTCTGGCAAGGAGAGCTTCCCACGAGCCTGGGAAGGCGCCAGCCAAACCAGGAACAACATAATAGGTAAATGTAGAAACAGAAAATTAATAGTTAACCAGAGTGAGAAGAGAGGAGGAAGAGTTACTGCTCTGGAAGCACTGAGTTTATGTTATTTATGGTAGAACAATTAGGAAAAGGATAGTGATAAGAGTTGTACACCAAGATGAATGTAATTAATGTCACTGAATTACATACACACACAAAATAAAAACCTCTGAATAAAAAGAAACATTGTAATTACAAGCAAAAATCAAAATGTATATACTTTTTTTAAAAAAGTAGTAACAATGCTTTTCACAGCTTGACCTAGTTTTAACAAAAATTCCTATTAATAAGACATCTTGTATTAAAAGGTCTAGATTACATCATAGGCCTGAAGGTGACTGAGCAAGGGATTCGTACAGTAACTAAATTCTAAAATCCCATTAATCTTAAATCAATATTCCATACTTGATAAGATGAGACAGTCAAGTAAAATAATTTAACATAATCTAAACCTGAAGCTCTGTAACATGAACACAGGTAAAAGGCAATTAATGAGTCTAATTACTAACATATTACTAAACTGTCAGCATGTAAGACTAAGAGAAGCACAGAAAAATAAAAAACAAATACATGTCACAGCTGGAATCTTCAAACAGTGCCTTGTGAAGCAAAAAGAAGACAAACAACTCTGTATTCACTTCTTAAATCTGTAAGAAATGGATTCCAGACCCCCAAACCTGATTCATTAGGCCTCATATGTGAGCCAGGTGATGTAATGTAGAAGGTCTGTGCGACAGACTTGGAACAACATAGCCTAGGGAGGGTGGCTCTCAAACCTTAACACCATCAGAAACAAGGGGTAGAGATGTTACAGTGGCTCACTGGCTCCACTCCCAAAGTTCCTGATTCAGTACATCTGGAAAGAAGTCTAAGAACTGCCATTTCAAGCAAACCTTTGTGATAGCGACCTTCCACAAACTGATTTTACATACAAAGGAGCACAGCTAAAACTGAAATTACCACAAAATATACACCAACGTAACTCTCCAGAATCTTAGGTCATGTTTGTAAAACCAAACACAGTATTATTTCTCCAAATATGTAAATAAAGGAAGAGATTATTAACCTTTCACTGGTCAGAGTTTATATGTTTTAAAAACTTAAACTGCAATAATGTACACTCATTAAATTTTACAGAGACTTTAATGCATATGACAGTGACTTAATTAAATGTTAACTCTTGTTATGCAGAAATATACTACATCTAGAAATGAACAGCCCTTTGACAGTGGTGGAAAATGATTAGCATGATAAATACTACATTAGAGAGTAAAAGTCATCAAAAACATTTTTCCACATTATCATGTTAAGGTCTCAGAAATAGCTGGATTTTATAAGTTGGCTCATATAATGAAATACAGTATTTCCATTAACCTCATACCATCAACATTATTGTTGTTGTTATGTGCCGTCGTCGAGTTGCTTGTGACTCATAGCAACGTTATGTACAACAGCTCTGAACCCTGCTCTATCCTGTGACAATCTTATTGTCTCTGATACACCTACCCCCATTACCCCAGACTGAATCAATCCATCTCATCAAGCATCTTCCTCTCCCACACATTAACATAAAACAAACATTATCATTTAATTAGCACTGTTCTAAAGACGCAGAACTTAAATTCTACTCTACTGAAATAATCTATAATTTTCCTAAAGATACATATATATGAATAACATGTGCCACCATCGTTAAAATATCTTTAAATACAGTAATTTTATATAAACTTAATAGCAAATACACACTATAGGAATTAATTAATCTACACTACTGCCAAAATACCAGAAAGAATTATCTTCCTGTGCCATGCATATTTAAGTTAAAGAAAAAGAGAATTCACCATATGTGTCATGCATCTCATTATACAGGAAGATAAATCTAGAAAAAAATTATGATGATTATACAGCGTGTCAAAGGTTTGTCATTCAAAATTGTTTTTGCTAGACAAAAGATTAACTGCTTGTTTTATGCTGAAGTAATTACTGTATTAAGGAGAGAGGATGCTAGCTATGTGGACAGGTGGAAATAGGCAAATGAGGCATGTCAGCCTATCCAGAGGGGAATGGCTATTTACCATTTCACAAGGGGAATTGTTCGTCTTAATAATCTATATGGGAATCAGCTAGTCTTACCACTGAACTGAGCAAGTCAGAGTGAGAGACAGACAGATTTTTCCCTACCAGCGAAGAGGACAGAGAGCTCCTGCCACCACCACTGAAGAAACTTCACCCCCAGGAAAAGAGCAAACATGGCTGAAATGGAGACCTGATATGAGATGAGAGTGTGGGCTGGAGAGATTCAATATTGGCAGGACTGAGAACCTAGGAACTCTGTTCTGGAGCTGCGAAGCTCAAGACTGAGGTCCTGTGTACACATTTCAGGAGCTGTCTTGACTATACTGTGTTATATTAATTTAGATTATAATCTTTTGACTTCCCCAATATGGTTCTGTGTGGTCTGTGAACTACTGCATGAGATTTTAGACCCACAAAAGCAGTAAGACTGGTACTGAGATGACTAGAAAGGGGTATTGGGAGCATGAGGAACATTTATGACCTCATAGGAATTGGTTTTGTGTTACTGATACTGTTGGAGAAGACCGTTCTCCTTTGTGAAGCTAATAAAGGTGAGACATGGCCTTTAACACGTAGCCCTCGCTCTATTTTACAATTATTTAACTGATAATACACAAGTTTTATAATGTATATCAAATGTCATTTCTAATATGTATTTAAAATACACAATAACCTATTAATGAAAATGTTGCTTAAAAGAATAATTAAATCTCACAAACCTAGAGAAACTTGTCTTATTCCTACAAAAAAGAAATTCTATTGGGTGATAACTGTTAAATGACTTTATAGCATGAAGAAATAGTTCCTAAGTACTGAGGAAAAGATAACAGTAAACCTATGACTGCAAATAAAACTTGCAGACTTTCCCGCTTACCTGTCCTATAAATAAACAGAATATATTTCTTCAGAAAACACACATAAAAACATGGTTATATGCTGAATTGGAGAGAAAAATGGATGTATTATGCCCAAATGATCATGAAAGACTAAAAAAAAAAAGCAGTTACATGACTATATGAGACAGAATTTGTTGTACCATAGTCATGTAGATGAGTCCAAACTGTAAATGAAGTATAGGATCTTATATTTTCTTTTAAAAGCAATTAGCCTTTTCTAAAGACTTTGATTAGCAGATGGCACAATTATTAGTTTAATATATTCCATAAAAGCATTCTATTCAATTTACACATGGGTTTTTATTAGCATTTTTATAGAGATCTTGAATATTTTTATGTATTACTAGAATGTTACTAATTTTAACGTTTATGTTTTCTTACGAATCAGACTATTTATAAAATTTTAGTGGTTTTAATATAGGTTCAAAAAGGATTCTCATATACTTTTTCTCTTCAGCTACATCTTACCTCTGCCTTCCTCTAATCTGTGTCTCCTGATTACCCGCTGTCGTTTTTCTTCTTGTCGCAACTGAAGGTGTTCTTCAATGTTAACACCAGGGACTGGGACAGCTAGATGATTAACCAATAAAAAAAAAGTACCTATGTTTTATATCTTATACTGTTGTGAGCAATTTTTGTTTCCCTAACTGCTAAGTGAAACTACTATTGCTACATTTTGGAGTTAGTGTTGCTATATTATATTCTTCTACTATGTACATCACTCCTTGCCAATTTGCTGTACTGAGGTAATCTGTGTTTGCTGTGATGCTGAACCTTGTGCCATTGGGGGTATCAAATACCATAATGGTTTACCAATGTGGACAGTGTCTGGTGGAGCTCCCAGTGGTAGCACAGGTTTGGAAGCAGGAATGGCATCCACTTCCTATACCACATGTTTACAAAAACTCTATGAACTTGGAGAAATTTATGGAAAGGCATTGGTTCTTTAGTTCATGGAGTTGCTATGAGTCATGCTTGACTTGGCAGAAATCAACAACAACAACAATATTAAAGTATATGTTTTCCTAATGTTTAGGTATAATCCATCCTGAAGACTAGTGTCACTGAGGTACATATAGGAATATATTAGCACATACACATACACATACAATACATGTGTGTTGAATATATACCTAACAAAAATTGTTTAATTGATCAGAATTACTCAGCCAATGACAAGAGCTTAAGTATGATCAAATATCTTACCTAAAAGAAGATCTAAAGGTATCATCTCTTTCACTGCATCGAGGATTCCTCTTTGTCTTGCCTCTTGACCATCTAACTCTCTTGCACAAGCTTTGCAACATCCACACACAGCACAGCCAGATTCCCCTGACCCACAACCACAGATCCTGAATGAAAGAAAGAAAAAGATTTAAATGGAATCTTTCTTTTCTCAAGTTTGTTCCATAACATCTTTTCTGCATTTAAGACTCAGTAGAATGAGTTAGTAATGAAATCACCCCTTCAAATCAAGATGGACTGATTTTAAAGAAATATATGAATAAGCATATAGTTAAAAGTTTTATTAATTTTAAAGACATAATTCCTGTATAACTCCAGGAAATACACACATCTGTTCTGCTGTTTTCAAAGCCACTATTTTTTTTTCACATTTTAAAAATTAATTTTAATATAAGTTTACAGAGACTTTGGATTTCCATTCATTCATTGTTGCACACTTCCCTCCCTGCCCACCCCTTCCCCCATTTGCTTTTCTCTTTGAAAAGTTAAAAAAAAAATCTTTCATTGTTATCCAATCACCCCCAGTCCACTCCACTGTGCAGCTTTCATTCTCTTGCCATGTCAATAATACATAATCATACATTCCTTCAAACAGTTCTCCCTCTCATCTGTTTCAATGCATTATTTATTCCCTCTTTTATTCCCCTCAATCCAAATGTCTATCCTGCTTTACAACAGTGGCATTATGCAATATTTGTCCTTTTGTGACTGAGATATTTCACTCAGTATAATGTCCTCCAGGGTCACCCATTTTGTATAATTCATGAGTTCCATTTTGTGAATATACCACAGCTTCTCTATCCATTCGTTTGTTGATGGGCACTTGTTTCCAACTTTTTGTTATTGTGAACAAAGCCACAATAAATAAACATGGGTGTGCATATATATCTGCTTGAGTGGCAGTTCTGCTTTCTTTAGGGTCTATTCTGAGTAGTGGAATTGCTGGGTCAAATGGTATTTCTATCTGCAACTTTTCGAGAAAGCACCGTACTGCCTTCCATAGTAGCTGCACCATTTTATATGCCCACCAACAGTGAATAAGGGTTCCAGTTTCTCCGCAACCTTGCCAACATTTGTTTGATGCTCTGTTAAATTTTGCTATTCTTACTGGGATGAGATGGTATCTCAGTTGTTTTGATTTGCATCTCTCTTTGTAACATTTCTTCATGTGTTTCTTTGCCATCTGAATGTCTTTTTTGGTGACATATCTGTTCATATCCTGTGCCCATTTTTCAATTGGGTTGTTTACCTTTATCTTGTTGTGGTGCTCAAGTATTTTATAAATTCTAGATATAAGTCTATTCGCTCAGTGTTTTTTAAGCTGAAGGAGATGAAAAACAAATTCAAGCGTGGGTGGCAATACTTAAGCATACTTTGGGGAGAATGTTAAACGATCAAGGTAGAATGTTAAACGATCAAGGAAGCATTAAAAAAAGATGGAAGGAGTACACAGAGTCACTGTATCAGAAGACTTTCATGAAATATCAAATGAGCAAGAGTCAATGGTGATGGAAGAAGTTCAAGTTGCTCTGAAGGAATTGGCAAAAAACAAGTTGACGACATACCAATTGACATTTTTCAACAGACAGACACTGTCCGGCATGTGCTAAATTGTGCCAAGAAATCTGGATGATAGCCAGCTGGCCAACTGACTGGAAAAGATCGGTACTTGTTCCCATTCCAAAGAAAGGTGACCCAACAGAGTGTGGAAACTGTCAAACAATATCATTAATATCATATGCAAGCAAGATTCTGCTGAAAATTTTCCAAAAACA